TTTATTGCAAATTGTATAGTTGGATCCCTTAATAAGAATGAACAATCTACCCTATATCTTCTTGCGGTAGAGGAATTTGAAACCACAAATAGCTCCGCAGTTTCCGAATTTTTTATCAATTTCATGAATTTACTATGGCCGGATGGCATTCAGTATGAGAGCGTATTGCTCTTTATGACTGATGCCACAAGTTATATGATGAAAGCCGGTACTGCTCTTAAAGTTATATTTCCAAATATGACACATTTGACTTGCCTTGCCCATGGATTGTACCGTGTTGCAGAAACAATTTGTGCAAATTTTCCGCTTGTTGACAAGTTGGAGTCTTCTGTGAAGAAGGTATTTGTTAAAGCACCATACAGAAAAGAAGCCTTTAAAGCAGTAGCACCGAGTGTTCCACTTCCGCCAGAACCAATTTTAATGCGCTGGAGCACGTGGCTATGTGCAGCGAGTTATTATACTTAACATTTAGAAACAGGAATGTCATGAATACATTTGATCCCAAAAGTGCAGCATCAATTCAAATTTCCCAAGATATACTAAAAAATGCAGAACTAGAAACTAATCTTTCCTATATATCTGCTCACTTCTCTCATCTTCCATCCGCCATTTCCTCACTGGAGGCAAGCAATAGCAATGCTACTTTGTATCAGTCGTTAAGTGTGTTCAAAACCACTGTTTCCAAATTTAATTCGGTTCCTGGAAGAGTTGGTGAAGCAGTAAAGGAAGAAGTACACAGCATTCTTTAAAAAAATCCAGGATATGAACAAATCTGTGAAATCGAAGAAATTTTAGCCAGTAAACGTACTGAACTGTCAAGTAAAAAATCACTAACGGTGAAGCAAATATCAGCTGTTGTACATGCGCCCCTAAGTTCCTGTGAGGTGGAAAGAAGTTTTTCCCACTATAAGGACATCTTACGAGACAATAGGAGGTGACTAACTATGGAAAACCTAAAACATTTAGTAATTGTGAACTGCAACAGAAGAGAAGTTGAAAGTTCGGAGAGCTAAATGCGAGTACCATTGGTTTTTTAAATTTGTAATGAAATATGTTGGCTTTGTTGCATGATTTGTATTTAAGTATAGCTTTTTATTGCAAGTGAATCATTCAGTGATTACATAAAATGAACTTAAATATTGATTTGTTGGTCTTAAAATAATGTAAAATCAATTTTAATATTTGGTATAAATTTTTATGTGCATATTTTGGAAGTTTTTCATGCATAAATGCGTACATATTTAAGGGATTATTAGGGCATAAAAATCCAGTCCCTAGTTATGACACAAAGTGATTTAAGGCAGATACTGCATAGACCACATCAGAGCCAGTAAGTGACACTTCAACATGTTTTGAAATTTCTTTCCTTTCATCATATCCTCTCAAAATACTAATTACTTAAGCCTTTGATTATCATCTGCTTAAAAACTTCATTAATTGCAAATTAATCATCATACCTCATTGTTTACATACTTTTAATATTAAATTATCCCTGGAAACTAAATGTGTTCTGTAAAGGGTTTACATTTGCAACAAAGAAACTCAGCAAAACTAACCTTCCTCCACATACGTTAATTATCATTTACTGCATTCTATTCCCGACCGACTCCACCTGAACACCTCATGCATGCATTTATGACCCTTGAAATAGTAACCATACTCTCTGAATTCAACTGAACTAATTACCCACCCGAGAAACACATACACAAGGATGTGCAGCTGAATGCCATGACCAGTTATGATATGAACAAGTAACCAAACACAATATTACTACTGTCCATTTCAGTCTTATACCTATCCTTTTCATTTATGGCTCATGTAAGGTTCTACATTAGTATACTGTAGATCACCTTAATATTCTGAGGAAAATTCTTAAAAACTGGGACTTTAGTGGCAATAGAATATGTATTATTTCATCTCAGCCATAATGTGCTGCTAGCCATTGGAGAGACTATCGAAATTTCAACAGTGTGACAGATGAAGCATTTTAAGAGACTATTATTCCAAGATATTGAAGGAGAAGATAGGAGACATTGCTTTTCAGTTAGCACTCATGTTAACATACTATGGACCTACAAAATTATCAACTGCTGGTGAAACAGTTTGTACAATAAGTGCAAAATATATTTTCTGTATGTTCAAGACTGGAAACAAGAAGGCGAAGTTCTTCCTGTGCTTAAGCATGACAGCAGGGAGGCGTTTATTACAAATATGAATCAGCTGTTGAAATGATGCATCATACATAAATAAGATCTAAAAGTTCATCATACATGATCATACACAAATAACACTGTGTAGTCAAAAATTGATTTTCTTTGCATTTTATTAAATATTCACTTTATATAAAAAAAAGTTTCACATTAATGCCGACATCACTGAAATCTAAATATTGTGTAATGTACAAATGTTTTGTACCATTGACTGTATCTAACAAACTTGTTTAAGTTTTGTTTCAGCCTCATGATAGGTGATGTTTGTGTTGGGCTGATACAAAACCAAAATTACATCTACCTGACATTTAACCCCCAAATACAGAACTTCAAGATTTTGGAGAAAAAACACATTAACAAGTGGATGTAGACACAGACGTGACCTCCCTAAAGTGTTTCCCTTGTGCAAGTACACAGTCTGCATGCAGACCGAAAAGATATTTCTTACTTACTTCACATGTATTTGATCCTCTGATTCCTAATTTATCTTCAGGTTTTCCACTGGTTACACCACCAAAATCTCTTTCAACTATGAAAGCAGTTACAACATCATGCTCTCTTCCAACATGGTCCACCCTCTGTAATAATCAGTTTAACAAATAAGTTCCCAGTAATACCAATCGCTGGTCTAAAATTACAAACCTGTCAGTTTAACCTCAGTGGTCTGCAAGCAAATGGAACAAGCTATTGCATCATACCTGAGGGAAATCTTGGTTAAAAAGGATTGGTTATTCAAGGGTCGACATGGATTCATGCTGGGATATTCATGTGAAAGTCAAGTAATCACGGTTTGCCAAGACATTGCACTCACTGGATAACAGAGGTAGGATAGATGCTATTATAATAGATTTTTCAAGGACTTTTGATTTAGTTCCTCATGATTGGCTGCTTACAAAAATTAGAGCCTCGGATGTGGACTTCCAGGTATGAAACTTATACATTCTTGTTAAAACTTTGCAGGCTATTCTAATTAAATGTTTGAATTAACCAGGGTGAAGTTGGATTGATGATTATAAGTGGATATATAAGAAGCCTCATAATTTTTGCAATGTAGCTGTATTATTGGGGTAGTGAAATTAAGGAAGCTAAGATAGGTTGGACATGTAACTAATAAGGGGGGGGGGCTCAAAATGATATATACAGCAATTTTGGTGCAAATATTCCTGGAAACTGGACACTTGGACGATTAAGGACATCAGCGCATATCATTATGATGGAGCTCACAGATATGAGTAATGAGAACAGGAGGTGAATGGAACTTGCTCAGAATTATGTTCATCACATGGTTCTGATGTAGCAGCATTGAAGCTGTGAGCCCAACAGTAAGATTTACTTAGTTAGTCCACAGAAAGTCAGTGATGACACAAAAGGAATTCATGATATGTTAACAGATTTTGTAATTCACTCCAACCTGCCAGTAATCTAAATCTGAACATCACACAACATTAAATCATTTCACGTTATCTCTGTAAGTCATACATACATAAAATCTAACCAACCCTGAAGTAACAGCTACCAAAGTAAGCACAGCTCCCTATTAGTTGCTGTTGTGCCCCAAACTTTATGTACAAGTGGATATTTTTATATTAATTAAGAATAGGTATTTTTTAGAAATCAAGGTTAAGAAACAGACAAATGAAATGTACAAGGAAGTAGGAATTGCTATAAAGGTAGTGAGACCGGTTAGGCAATAGCCAGCTAACCAGAATGTTACAGTGTCAGCTTACTAATGCTGACGACAAGGAAGAGGTTAAAGAAAGTAGAGCAGGAAGGCCCTGGGGCACTAAGAAATCGCTGAGTCAGAGAGGGCAGTAGGCTAGGGAACGCAATCCCCCTTCGCCAGTCAGCCAATGAGAGCTAGCCACCCCAACCAAAATCACGTCATGATGTGCGGGTGTATACGCTCCCGGAAGCCGGTGAGTAGCAAGAAGAAAATATAAAAAGGGATCATCACTATCAAGATGGATGGATATATATTTATTTATTGCCATCTTGAGCATCGTCTTCACGTTCATCTCTGTTAGTACTGTGACATGTTGACCCCTACCTCCCCAGCGGTACGTGGCGGTAACGTAACGCTCGCGTTACTACGGTAATAGGCGAGTTCCCGCCCCGCCACT